AAATTAATCAATAAGAAAAAGGCAAACAACCCCATTTTTATGTGGGCAAAAGACTTATACAGAAAATTCTCTGAAGATGACAAATGGCCAACAAACACATGAAAAAATGTTCATCATCTTTAATTATCAGAGAAATGCAAATTGAAACCACTCTGAGATATCACCTAACTCCAGTAAGATTAGCCCACATCACAAAGTACCAAAAATGCAGATTCTGGAGTGGATGTCGAAAGAAGGGAACACTTCCACACTATTGGTCAGATTGCAAACTAATACAACCTTTATGGAAAGATGTGTGGAGAATTCTCAAAGAACTAAAATTTGACCTTCCATTTGATCCCACAATGCCATTATCTACTCAGAAAAGCAAAAATCATTTTACCACAAATACATTAGCTCCAGAATTTTTATTGTTGCTCAAATCACAACTGCCAAGTTGTGGAAGCAACCCAAATGCCCATCAATTCATGCATGGATTAATAAATTGTGGTATATGTATACCATGGAATACTATTCAGCCATAAGAAAAGATGGAGACTTTGCATCTTTTATGTTTACCCGGATGGAGATGAAACACATTCTTTTTAGTAAAGCATCTCAAGAATGGAAGAAAAAAAGGATACAAAGTACTTGATACTAATATGAAACCAATATATAAATACTTACGCACTCATATGAATGACAAAGCACAAATATAGTCTAGCAAGAGGGAGGTATAAGGATGGAGAGAAGGGGGGAAGGGAGATTGCTGGGAAGATGGAGGGCATTTGGTGGGATCTCACCAAATGTGCACAATGTGAGAATATTCAACATGTCCCCCTGAGTGAGGGGCTCTCCTACAACTTGAACTTTGCTTTGGAAGTGAGAACAATGTAACCTAGATATTTTTTTCCTCATATTAATTTGATATTTTAAAACAGTAAAAAACAACTCAAAATTATTTAGGGCCATATTTTTAATAAAAGAGAGCAAAGAAAACTACCTATTTTAGAAAATAAATCACTGCTGGCACATATTGGATATTCATTTCTGCTTGAAAGCACATTTTATAGTTCATTGAAGTTACTTTAAAAACCTAATTATGTGTTTTTTGAAATTATCTCCTATTTTTATTTATAAATATTAGTTGTCTATTCTTTGAGACTTTGGGGGAAAAAAAGAAGTTAATTGATGACTCCATACTGAACCTCAGAGTCAAAGCATTTTATGATAGACATACTTTTATCTGACAATGTAAATGTTACTTTTTTTTGCATTATTATTATTATTGCTCAATATTTCATTGCAGAAATCATCTGATTTCTTTTCCAAGTGTATTTATCTTCATTCATTCTTTACAAAGTTTTTGTTTCTAGTCCTTATCTTAAACATTGTTATTGTTATTAAATTTCAAACCTCTTTAATTTTGTGAAGGCAAAAACTGGAAACTAAATAAACACATGTATATGTATAGAGAAAATTAAAAAAAAATAAAAGGAGGGTCTAGGAGGTAGGAGGAAACAGAGAGAGAAGTTGAGGGATGAGTGCTGTAATCAAGGTGAGAGAAAATGGTACTTTGAGCAGGGTGGAGACAGGACCAGGGATGGTGAGAAGAGAGCAAATCCTGGATATATTTTTAAGGTAGACGTGACAGATTTCCTCACAGCCCTGATGTGGGGCAGAAGAAGAAAAGCAGCGGCAACGATTTTGGCCTAAGAACAGGAGAGACGGAGTTGCTGTTGATAGAGATAGAAAAGGGGGAAGACAGTAGTTAATTTTGGACATGTTAAGGCTGCCATGCCTTGCTAGACATCCAAATAGAGATACTAAGTAAGCAGTTTGATTTCAGCCCTGGACTTAAGGAAGAGAGATCCATCCAGATATAGGAATTTGAGGGTCATCAGCATAGAGGTGAAATTTAAAGCCCATAGCATGAGTGAGAGTCCCGTGGGGAATGATGTCTGTATGAAAGAGAAGAAGCCTAATGAGCAGGCTCCAGGGCATTCCTGCATTTAGTGCTGGGGATGAGACGAAGAACCAACAAAAGAGTCTTTGCAGGAGTTGTCAAAAAAAAAAAAAACATAAGAAATCCATGGGAGAGCTAAAATATTTCAAGGAGGAGAAGAGTCATCAACTAGGTTAAAGCAAAGCAGAAACATTTTACACACTCAAAAATCAGTCAACACATGTTCAGCACCTCTAGGTACTAGGCACTGGTGATTGAATGGATGATGGATGAATGAATGAATGAATGAATGAGCAAGAAAGCCATTGCCCCTACCCTCAGGAGCTTTCAGTGCAGTGGTAGAGGCAGGAGCGTATTCAAAGGAGCAGGACACATGCTGTGTGCCTATAGGAGCCCACAGGAAAGCCCCAAAAGAGGGAGTGAGCGGTGTTCCTTTGCCTTCTCTGAGCAATGTCATGCTCACCAGTGGTTTTTTTTTGTTTTGTTTTTTTGTTTTTTTGGGTTTTTTTTTGAGATAGTCTCACTCTGTTGCCCAGGCTAGAATGCTATGGTAACAGCCTAGTTCACAGCAACCCCAAAGTCCTAGGTTAAGTGATCCTCCTGCCTCAGCCTCCCAGGTAGCTGGGACTACAGGTGTCCACCAGAACACCTGACTAATTTTTCTGTTTTTAGTAGAGCCATGGTCTTGCTGTTGCTTAGGCTGGTCTGGAACTCCTGAGCTGAAGAGACCCTCCCACCTCATTCTCTCAGAGTGCTAGGATTACAGGCATGAACAACTGTGCTGGCCTCATGCTTGGTTTTTGCTTCTACTATACCCTTTACCTGAAATCTGTATTTTCAGTCCCAGCCTCTCCTAGCATTAGAATCACATCCAACTGCTAGACCTCCTTACTTGAAGTTGCTGCAACATGACCTCGCACACAACATATACACAACTGAATTTATCATTTCCTTCTTTTTCCCCTCTCTTTCCTTAAGATTTTACCTTGCCAGATATTCAAACACATAATAAAGATATGATTACCACGGTGATTGCTGGGATCACAACTAAGATTTATCCTATAGGGTACATGTAAATCTTTCTAAATGTGGAATATAAATGTCTTAACACAACAACTATGAGAATGACATGAAGGATATGTTAACCAATTGGATGAAAGTATTTGAAATTGAATATAGAAACAACACACTGTACCCCATGATAGTATTAATGTGCACAACTATGATTTAATAAAAAAAAAAGATATGATTACAAAAGCAATGTGGCCTATGGAAATATCCCAAAAACCTAATTACACTGATGTCAATATATAACTCTCATATATCATAAAGGTGGTGTTAGTGATTACTTGTGGGACTAGTTAGGTATTTGGGGAATAGTAATTTAGATCCTCACTTCATATCTTTTACCATTATGAACTCTAGATGGATTAAAAACTTAAGTGCCAAATTTTCAAAGCATAAAAAACTAGAAGCAATTTAGCGTGAATAAATAGTATTTGGATGGGCTAATTTAGGCACAAAACAATGGACATATTCTTCATCAGCAGCCCTCAGCCTGTGGTCCATCACAGGTGGCCCTCTGCTTCCCATCACCTAAACCAGAATCCTCAATGTCATTCACTACTTGTTTCTCTCCCTCGCACAGGCAATCACAATGTCATACTGTCTTCACCTTTTCTTTTTTGAAACAGAATCTCATTCCATTGTCCCGGGCAGAGTGCCATGGTGTCATGGCTCACAGCAACCTCAAACTCTTCGGCTCAAGAGATCCTCTTGGTTCAGCCTTCAGAATAGCTGGAACTAGAGGCAGGCACCCACCACAAAGCCCAGCTAGTTTTTCTATTTTTAGTAGACACAGGGTCTTACTATTGTTGTGGCTGGTCTCAACTCCTGAGCTCAAACCATCCACCCGCCTCAGACTCCCAGAGCACTAGGATTACAGGTGTCAGTCACTACACCTGATCCTTTCAGTGACTTTTGAAAAGATGTATTATGATTCCTTGCATTTTAGTAATAAAAATTTACTGATATATTTACCAAGACACACTGAGTTACTGAATGCCTTCCAGAAAAAATGGTCTATATAGCTTTATGAAAATGAAGTATCAAATACAAAAGAAATGGAAGACACTCTATTATAATATATATAGAGAGAGAGATACAATCTCACTTTGTTACCCTCAGTAGAGTGCTGTAGTGTGATAATTCACAGCAACCTCAAACTCTTGGGCTTAAGTAATTCTCTTGCCTCAGCCTCCCAAGTAGCTGGGACTACAGACACCCGCCACAACACCTGGCTATTTTTAAAGATGGGGTCTTGTTCTTGCTCAGGCTGGTCTCGAGCTGTGAGCTCAGGCAATCCACCTGCCTTGGCCTCCCAGAGTGCTAGGATTACAGTTTGAGCCACTGCGCCCGGCCCCCTATAATATTCTCTTAGACCATGAGGAGGAGAGATGGTCTTTGGTATAAATAAAGCTATATAGTTTAACAGTCACTGGAGTGAGGTACTGGAGAGGTACTGGAGTAACTAGATTGGCTATATCATAGTTATCTGAACTTGAAAGTTTAAAATAACAATAAAAAATGTTAAAGCTTCTCTGTTGAGTTATTTGAATGTACTGCCAATGCCTTGTGTTGTTTTATAGCACTGACTGAGGGAGCAGTCTGGAAGAAAATGGAAGCAAAGTAGCTGTTATCCCCATCCGGAAAAGCTGCATGTGCTAGTGCAGTCTCTGCTTCCTGCAGGGGGATTTATTTGTTCAGAGGCCAGACCAGCTGAGTGTGCACTGGGAGCAGCGTCGGGAAGTGAACATTCCAACTAATGGGCACATTTAGTGTGGAGCAACTTAGAAGTCTTGGCAGATCTCAAAATTCTGTTCCTCATGTATGCAAAAGTCTTGAGACACTGAGATGTAGTTTCTGAGGGCCAAGGGACTTATCAGCCCCACCAGTGTATTCACCAAAGGCAGGCTAATGAAATGAAATGGGTTTTAAAAGAAAATTCCATTTGTTTTCCTTGTCTAGTCCTTGGTGTGTGCTTTTTCCATCTTACCTAGAAAAGCCAGAATCTGCTAGCAGCGTGATTCCTCATCTTCTCTCATCTTTTTCCTGTTCTCTCCTTTCCATGGCTTGGTCTGTGGAGTTCTCAGTTAGAGACATTGCTGAGCAGAGGAAATATGTCTCTCTGAAATAGAACCAAGAGTCCTGGCCTCACTTGGCCTGCAGAGAGCATACACACAGGCTTTTCATCAGTCTTTTCTGCCTGACACTCAATCGGGAAGCCTGAGTGGCTCATGAAGACAGGCTTTCCATGCCACACTCTCACCATGCCAAAGACTTCAAACCATCTCTTCTGAGCTCTTGACTCTCAGAGCTAAAGAAATATGCGTGCGTGATTAGATGTCAGCTTCCTTGCCACCATATAACCTGGAGTTCACAGGCTCAGTTTCCTTTCACCAAATGGGTATCTCAGATGTGAGCCTTGGGTAGACTCAAACAGAGTGAAGAGAAGAAGGCATGGTGCTTATGCTGTCATTCTGCCTTATTTTGAGATTTTTCAAAGATGGATTATCAAGCAGGATGAAGCAGATCAAGAAGTTTCTCTTTCGAGAAATTGGAAGATATATTTTTAGCCCTTCTCTCTGCCTTGCCAAAGCTGATCTGCCTTTTCCAAGGATCTAAAGTGCTGCATGGTGCTGCCCCCAACTGGTTCTTTTTGGTGCTCACATTATCATCACATGAGAAAATCTCAGGTCACATGACATTTAAATTTTTTCTAAGCACTTTCCTATGTTTTACCTATAGGAAAACCTCATACTAACACTGTAAGTATTAGTAACAGTGTTTTACCTCATACTAACACTGTAAGTTAGGTGGATTGGGAATTATCATACTTACTTTATAGCTGAGAAAAATGAAGGGTGCATAGGTTTATTAGATGGTTTGTCCAAATTAAATGGCAATTAGACAGATTAGACTAGAATTCAGATTTCTTGTCTCTTATCCCATTAGGTTCCCTAGTACTTGGTAAATTCAATATCATGCCCAAATAGTATTTAGGCTGAGAGGAGTTTCTCCCTTTTTCTCCCTTGGAAGAAAGAAAAAGAGGATATATCATGTAAGGTTTGAGTAAATTAATTTTTGAGCGCCTGTGTTGTATGAGGCCCTCTGACTCAGATGCTGTGGTCTCTGACTCTCCAATGCAATGTAGTGGTAAGGAGTATGGACTCTGGAGTCAGATTGCAGAGTCTGCCTGTCTCTGCTACTGAATAATTGATAACCTTGAGCAAGTCTTAACCTCTAAATGCTATGTGATAGAGTTATTGTGCAGAATAATGAGATAACATTATATAAAGTTCTTGGAATAGTGCTGGTCAATTGTAAGCACTTTATTAAATACTAGCTGTTATTATTTTCTATATATAAATATATTTATTCACTTTTTTTCAAGACAAAGTCTCACTATGTCACCCTGGTTAGAGTGCTGTGGAGTCACAGCTCACAGCAACCTCAAACTCTTGGGCTTAAATGATTCTTTTGCCTCAGCCTCCCAAGTAGCTGGGACTATAGGTGCCTGCCACAACACCCAGCTTTTTTTTCTTTTCTTTTCTTTTTTTTTTTGAGAGAGAGTCTCACTATGTCACCCTGGGTAGAGTGCTGTGGCATGATAACTCACAGCAACCTCAAACTCTTGGGCTTAAGTGATTCTTTTACCTCAGCTTCCCAATTAGCTGGGACCACAGGCACCCGCCACATACCCAGCTATTTTTGTTACAGTTGCCACTGCCGTTTTAGCTGGCCGGGGCTGGGTTCAAATCTGCCACTCTTGGTATATGGGGCCAGTACCCTACCCACTGAGCCACAGGCACTGCCCCAATGCCCAGCTATTTTTTTGTTGCAATTGTCATTGTTGTTTAGCTGGACGAGGCTGGATTTGAACCCGCCAGTCTCGGTGCATGTGGCTGGCACCATAACCATTGCCCATGGTGGTAAGCCAATTTATTAATTTAAAAAAGGTAAAGCAGCCCTTTGTGGGTATATGGGAATGATGAAGAATGGTCACATTTCTTGAAGAGGAGATCTTCTAATAATTCCTCCATATCCTTATCTTGTATTCACTCCTCAGTTCACTTCAGTCTTACTCTAGTTTTAACCACTTTACTGAAACTGCTCTGGCTATAGCTGTCAGTGACTTCCTATTTACAAATTCACTGGATACTTTTCAAGCTTATCTCACTTGATCTATAGCATTTGATACTATTGGCCATTTTCTTTTTAGAATGTTCTTGTTTAACTTCTATGATAATGTTTTTGCCTGGTCCTTCTTCCTCTGCTTATTCCTTTAAATTTTACCATTCCTTTGGATTCTGTTAATTTCCCATCTTACATGTTAACCCCTGGACAATTTCACATATTCCTTGGACTCTATGCCTTTAGCTCTATGTCGTTGCCTCCTAAGTGTCTTGCCCAGACTTTGTTCCTAAACTTAAAACTGATTCTTTACAGGACATCTTGACCTTAAATTTACTTGTCCCAGCTGAACTCTCTCTTAACACTGCCTCTTCCAAAAATCTACTCCTCTTCTTATTTCTAGATAATTAATGATGACATCCAGGGACCAATAGCCTGGAGTCATCATAGAGCTTTTTATTGTTCTCATTCTGTGATCCAGGTAATCATCAAGTTTGGGGTTTTTTTTTTTTTCTTTTTTTGCCCTGCCATGTCCATACATTTTGAATCTTGCCTTGTTCCAGTGCCTTCACTTTTGCCTTGGATGCCTTTCTCTCACCAGGATAACTGCCTAACCTATTTTCCCTTTCTTGTATTCTTCACTTTAATCTATCACAAAAGCTAAAATAATATTTTCTTTAAAAAGCAAATATGACCATGTTGACGATGCTTCCCTGTTTAAAAAGACTTGTTTTGTCCCCCTGTAGATAGGATAAAGTCCATGTATTTTAGTAAAACATATAAGCCTCACTTCCTGATTCTCCCGTACACGCACTCTGGCCATATTGAGTAAATTAATTTCCTGAATGCAGTTAACCTATAACTTTGTATACACTGTTCTGTGTAGATTGTCCATCTCCTGCTACCATGTTGTCCTTTCTGACACACTTCCTCTGTGCAGTTTCCTCTGTTGTTCCCAGATTAACCTTATTCTCAGTAGTTTATGGTGCTGCGTATCTGCATATAACTGTATTATTCTTCCATATACCTTAACAGGTTGTGATCTCCCCAAAGAGAAGGTATCTTTGTGTGCAGCACTTACCATGGTACGTGGATACAGAATAAGGCCTTGGTAACTTTAAAAATATGTAGAGTCTCTGTCTTCTAGGTGTTCACTGTGTAAACCATCAGCCTAACACTTCTGGTAAATGGTATCTGATTTTTCCTTCTGTTTTTCAGTATATCAACTCTGGGAACCTGGAACAGTTGCTAGATAGTAACCTGCATTTGCCCTGGTCTGTGAAGGTAAAACTGGCCTATGACATAGCAGTGGGCCTCAGCTACCTTCACTTCAAAGGCATCTTTCATCTGGACCTCACATCTAAGATATGAAGGCCTTACTTCGACAACTCTTTGAGACACTGTCTTTCTGTTTTTATCAAGAAAGCTGTGTTCCGAAATAAGTCACTGAGTTTAGGAACATAGAGATCTCTTATAGAGTTAACATTAATCACAGAAAACATAACTCATTATTCTTAATAGCTAGTCCTTTGAAAGCCTATACCAGAGCAGGTACCTTTCAGTGTTCAGCCAGGCAATACCTTCATCTTTTTTTTTTTTTTTTGAGACATGGTCTTACTTTGTTGCTCTCACTAGAATGCCATGGCATCATAGCTCACAGCAACTTCAAACTCTTGGGCTCAAGTAATTCTCTTGCCTCAGCCTCCCCAGCAGCTAGGATTATAGGTGTTTGCCACATGCCTGGTTATGTGTTTAAGAGACAGGGTCTTGCTCTTGTTCAAGCTGGTCTTGAACTCCTGAGTTCAAGCAATCCACCTGCTTTGGCCTCCCAGAGTACTAGGATTACAGGCATGAGCCACCATGCCAGGCATCCTGAATGTGTGCTGCAGAAGCAGATGACACAAGGAGGATTAAGAGATTCTTACCCTGTAGGAGTGACAGCAGTCTAGGCAGTGTGGGGGCCTGTCAGTTTTCTCTTCCATGGACCCCTGGAGATAGCTCTTAGCCTAAGAGCAAGAGTTCAGTGATTTTTAGTCACCAAGTACAGGTTTTGAGGGCCATAATGTACTGACCCATTTTCTGTCTGTATGATTGAGTTTCTGCCACCCTGCCAGTTCCTCTTTGGCGTCAGCTGGTCTCTGTAGTATTCTCTTGTTGTCCAAATTGCTATGTGACCAGGTTAGAAAAGAGGTGCTTTCAGAAGTTGGCCATGCTACAAGTAAGCACCTCAAAGCCAAGTGGCCCAGGGCACCACTGTGATCATTGATGCAGGAGCTATAAGGGCATTTAACATATCTCATAGGACTTCTGCCCAAGAACTGAATTCAAGTCTTGTAGATAGATGCGTAGCAGTTTTATTCAGGCCTAAGAATACCTATCAGGCTGAGTGTGGTGGCTCACACCTATATTCCTAGCACTCTGGGAGGCTGAGTTAGGTGGATTGCTTTAGCTCAGGAGTTTGAGACCAGCCTGAGCAAGAGCAAGACCCTGGTCTCTACCGTAAATAGAAAAACAAGCAGGGCGGGGCTAGTTGTGATGGGCACCTGTAGTCCCAGCTACTTGGGAGACTGAGGCAGAGGATTGCCTGAGCCCGAGTTTGATGGTGCCATAACACTGTACCCAGGGCAACAGAGACTCTGTCTCAAAAAAAAGAAAGAAAGAAAAGGAAAAATTAGTCAGTTGTGGTGGCAGGTGCCTATAGTCCTAGCTACTCAGGAGGCTGAGGAAGGAGGATTACTTGACCTCAGGAGTCTGAGGTTGCTGTGAGCTAGACCGATGCCATAGCACTTTAGCCTAGGACAACAGAGTGAGATTCTGTCTATATATACATACATATAGTGGGAACGTATTCCAAGTGAGTAAATCAGGGTAGACGTAGATGGCTTTTTCCAAATTTTCTTGAGCCTATGGTAAAGGCAAAAGGATCCTTAGTTTATCATCAGTGTATCTCCTGAAAGTATTGCCTTTGTAGGATTTACATGTCAGTGGTTACTGCAGTACTGCTTTGAATTTGTGCAGGGATAATGCTAAGAACTTACTAAGAAGGCAGTGGCAGGCAGTGTGGCTTTTAAAAATGTGCAGTTCATGAGCTCCATAAAGCAGCAGCAATAACCACACACAGGCTTTTACCAGTTGCTCTAGAAGTAGCTAGTGAAGCCATGCATGAGCCTTGACTCTTGAAGGCAGCTGAGATAGCAGTTCATTTCTTCTTAATACCCTTACTGCCTAGCATCAGAAAGCACTGCTGATCTGTGGTACTGTTGGGGGTATATGTATGAATTATGAATTGTACCTTTAGGTCCTAGTTGTTTTTTGTTCTATGTTGACTCCATAGAAGCCATTCTGGTGACTTCATCAGAGTGAAAACCTATCCAGCTATGGTCTTAGGCTATGCCACTCAATTAGGAAAAGAAATGCCAATTTTCAGAAGAGTGAAGAGAACATGAATTAGGAACAAAGCTGAATGCTGGAAGGTTGTAGAGAGTGGCTATTAGGGCACCCTGGAGTTATCTTTTAAAATGAGAACCATCAACATCTTCTGAGAACCCTTTATACTATGCTATTAGAGGACCCAGTATTGGACAGAGAAATGACTGAAATCCAGTCTATACCCTCCAAGGGCTCTTAGTTTAGTTGTGGAGACAAATAAGTGATGAAGTCATTATACAAGAACTATAGCAAAGATCATATAGGGCTGAGGGCAAAGAATGGGACAGCAAAATAGACAATCTTCTAAGAGACTATAGCAGTCCCTGAGGCATTTAGGAAGGCAACTCAGTCACTGACCTCCCCGTGCTGTAAAAAGAATGTCTTAACCTTTCTTGAGATGTAGAATCAGTCTTTTCCTGACTGATGCTAACTGGGTTTATGGAGTTTGTTGAGGGTGAGGGGAAAGAGTTGATGGCAGATTGAAAGTGTTTTTGTTGTTGCAGAAACAGCTTCTTTAGCTTAGAGGAAACATTAACAAATGGACTGGGCATTTCTCTGCTCAGGTGGTCTTACTCAGTGTCAGTACTGAGTGTTTAGCTGTTAGGATATTCAGGAACTTCCCTCAGGTGTCTGCTCTGGCCTAGTTCTGAAGAATGTGTGTAGGTTTCCATAGCCACTCTTTGAGAACCTTGTCAGCTCTGTCCTTACTATGGAGTCAAATGTATGATTAGTGTTCACATTTGACACGTTTTTATTTTATTTTATTTTTTGAAACAGTCTCAAGCTGTCACCCTAGGTAGAGTGCCATGGCGTCACAGCTCACAGCAACCTCATATTCTTGGGGTTAAGCAATCAATCCTCTTGCCTCAACCTCCCAAGTAGGTGGGACTACAGGCGCCTCCCACAACACCTGGCTATTTTTGGGTTATAGCTGTCATTGTTGTTTGGCAGGCCTGGGCTGGATTTGAACCCAACTCCGGTGTAATGGGGCTGGCACCCTAGCCTCTTGAGCTATAGGCACAGAGCCTGACACAAGCTTTTAAAAGCAGCTTAGTTGCACAGGGGCCATGCTAATCTTCTCTGTATTGTTCCAATTTTAGTATATGTGCTGCCGAAGCAAGCACTGTGGCTCAAAGGAGTAGGGCGCCAGCCCCATATACGGGAGGTGGCAGGTTCAAACCCAGCCCCGGCCAAAAAAAAAAGCAGCTTAGTTGCTTCAGTAACCAGACCAAACTTTGCATTTAATAAACTTTTGCCAAGGTCCTGTGTGCCTGTGCTGGGTTAGAGAGACAGAGATGAATGGGATCTTTCCCTGTCCTTGAAGGCAAACATATAAGTCACTCTGCTATGGTGATGTACTACACTAGGGGCGAGGTCAAAAAGGAGCTACAGCCAGGCAGCTGCAGAGCCTGGGCTGGTTGAACCTGAAAAGGTCACCTCTTAACTCAGGGAAGTCTGACTGGGCCTCTGTTACTGCTTACTCTAGGAAAGTCATGTTAAAAGAAGGGAGACAATTAGGTGACAAATCTGGCCGGCCATTGCCTCACAGGCTGGTGCCCAAAGGTGGGGCTTTGGCTGATAGGCAGGCTGGCCTAGGGTTAATCAGAGTGCCAGGTTGCTGAGGCAGCAGGCCTATGAGAGGGCTAAAGCCAGGACAAGCACAGAGACCATCCTGCCTGGAAGCCAGAGATGATGCATTTCTACCTGAGATTCAGGGCAGGAAAAGATGTGATGGAATCACAGGATCCTTCCAGCTTGGAGAATGGAAAAATGTAGTAAGGGACAGAGTAAGGGATTGATTTGCACATGTGGAGTAAGCAGGAGTGACTTGGCAACATCTTATCAGTTAGAAGCGAAAGCTGGCAAGGAGGAAGGAAGGCTGGTGTGGGTCAGACATGGTTTGGCCAGTCTGGGTCAGACAGGATCTGGCTAGCCCCAGAAATGTTTCTGTAAGCCAAGGATCCCCTGCTGTCTTCTGACCCTAAAGGAAGCAGGTGGGGTGAGGTGCCTCTTGAGCCACAATGGTATCGGCTATTTTGAACACAGTTATTTGGGGAGAGCTACTTTGTTTGTTTATAGGTCATTTGGGTTCATCCTTTCTCTGAAGATGGGCAGCATTTGCTCAGTGAGCATGTCCTCAGCCTCTCCCATGAATTAAATACTGTGAGGAAGACAAGCCCAAACCAGAACCGGCTCCTGAGGAGCTCACAGCCTCCCTGCTGGACTGTCAGAGGAAGTGCTTAGAGGAGAAGCTAAAGCAGCTTGATGAGAGGGGAAGGAGAGGACAGAAGAGGTAGCTCACCTTAAAGACATAAAATTTTCTTAGGTAAAAGGTTAATAAGGAGCATAGCACAAGTGGAAAGAACAATTTCAACAAAGGCAAAGGCTGAAAGGCCCTGTTAGGCTTGATAAGCCAAGCTTGTCTGTGAGGATATGTGTGTAGGGGCACTAGGAGCAGGGGTGTAGGGAGTAAGCTAGTTGGATGGAGCCAGATCATAGACTTTTAATGTCAAAGCGGAGGTTGGTTGTAATCCTATGGACAGTGAAAGTCAGTGTATCCTCATATTAACTTGGCACGGTCAGGCCTGGGTTTTTGGGTCTCTGCATTCTGACGAAGGAGGAAGGCTAGGGCTTGATATTCTACCTTCCTCCAATAGATTGTGAGCCCCAAGAGGACAAGTTTGTTGCTCATTGAGGTATCTCTAGCACTTAAATCATGCTTAGCACTTAGAAAGCCAAAACAAGTATTTGTGTTTGGAGTATGAAGTGAATCTTGGAGCAGCCACCCCAGATCCAGGACTAATTCATCTCACATGGCTTACAGCCCCCAGATCTGACCACTGAGGTCAGTCTAAGAGTGTGGTTCACCAAGGAGCAGACAAGGTACCCTGTGGCAGGGAGGGTTAGATGATAACTATAGCTGGATGATCCTTATGTCTATGGCTAGATGATCCTTATGGCTACGGCTGACTGGAACTCTAGAACTGCCTGATAAGAGGGATGAGAATGGTTATTCTGCAGTGGTTGCTGACTTTGGCCTGGCTGAGAAGATCCCTTATGTCAGGTGGATCTGAGGAGAAGGGGCTGAAGCTAAGGGAAAATTACAGCACTTGGTCATAGTTCAACCACAGCTCCCTAAATTTGGTCAACCTAATCCTTGGGAGAGATGAATTCCTACTAGTCAAAAGAGCTCATTGTGAGGCCAGGCGTGGTGGCTCACGTATGGAATCCTAGCACTCTGGGAGGCCAAGGCAGATGGATTGCTTGATCTCATGAGTTTGAGACCAGCCTGAGCAAGGGTGAGACCCCATCTCTACTAAAAATGAAAAATTGAGGCAAGAGGATCTCTTGAGCCCAAAACTTTAAGGTTGCTGTGAGCAATGAGGGCACAGCCCTATACCAAGGGCAACAAAGTAAGACTCTGTCTCAAAAAAAGGAGAGAGAGAGCTCATTGTGCCAGGCAGCGCCAAGCTCATTTACTACATAATCTCACCCCACAGCATGGGTGTAGTGGGCTCACCTTTCGGATGGCACCTGAGGTTCTCCGAGATGAGCCCTATAATGAGAAGGTAAGTCTGGGGGATCTCAAGGCCTGGTTCTCCTTAGAATCTACTCTTAGCAGAAAGTGTCCAGGATCACCTTTTATGTTCAGAATGATTTTGGTAAGCAGTGTTGGTACCTGGCAGCTGCCCAGTGGATGGCTTCAATGACATATGGGCAATAGAGCCCAGGCTTGAGCTGTTAGCATGGGGGGAGCAGACACCCTACCCCTCACTCCATTCAGAGAAACCAAGGTGTGACTACCCTCCAGGTAGCATGATCTCTTACGGTATCATCCTCTGAAAGATCATCACCCACATCCAGGCTGATCCGGACTATCTTCCCTGCACAGAGGTGAGCTGCAGGCTTGGGAATCAGTGCCACTGAGGCGGGGATGGTTTGAGGCTATGCAACTTTGTCCTTGGGGCAGAGTGCTGGAACTCAGTCTGTAGCTTTTCAGGGGCAGCTTCCATTCTTTTCTGAGCACGCCAGGGTGGTGGTAAGGATGAATGATCTGTCTACCCATGTCTCCTATACATTTCCCACCATACCCATCCACAGAATTTCGGGCCAGACTATGACACTTTCCAGCCCATGGTGGGAGACTGTCCCCCAGACTTTCTGTAGCTCACCTTTAACTGCTGTAAAGTATCTTTCTCCCCTGGGCTTTGGTCAGGGGCTAGCTGAACCCTTACTGCCTGGTTAGCACTACAGAGGCTTCTAATTAACCTCACGAAGCCTCATTTTCCTCCTTCTCCCTCTGGGCCTCTTGGGAGTCTCCAGAGCCCTGGACCAATGTATTATCTGGTCCTCAGCTTACAGGATAGACCTACCACCCTTGCCTCAGGTGTTGTTGGAGCACTGGGCAGGATTTATCATTGGATGGTGGATCCAGCTGGTCCTGAGACACATGAAAAAGGTTCTTGTCTGCCTTCACGTATAGAACTCTAGGGGGCTGGACCTACCTGTCATGACCAAGTGGTAGGCTTTGATCAGGTAGCTCCCAGAAACACATTAGCAGCAGAATTCAAGAATAGAATAAACCAAACTTTTGGAGGGTCCTGTGCCAAATAAGGCATATAAGGAATACACACAAAGAACACTGATAGAAGAAGACAGTAGGCAATATCTTCCTAGACCTTAGCCCTAGGATTCACCCGTAATACCTGGGGCTTTCAGAAAAGATCTCTTAGCTGTACTCTGAATCTTAAAAGATGCCAGAAACAGACTCAAATGCCATACTGGGGTGGGATGGAAGGTAAAGCTAATGGCTGTTGTGGATGCCTACAGATGGACCCCAAACTGCACCCATCCTTCGTGGAGATTGGGAAGACCCTGGAGAAAATTCTGAGCTGCTTATAGGAAGAGCAGGCAAGAGATAGGAAGGTAAAGCCTATAGCCAAAGTTGAGAGATTAGCCCAGAAATCCCATCCTGACCCCAAGGGAGCATAGTAGGGTGTGGAACCTCGTCCTCTAGGCTGTGATTGCCAAGATCCCAGGTCCAGAAGCAAAGGGGGGAGGGAAGATAATGGAAAAAGTATTGGACTCTGTGACTTGGCATACTGCTTCCCTCTGTTTCTTCACGGATAACATAGAACAGTACCTACTTCGCTTTTGGAATGAAAACACTTTTGTGGTAAAGTACTGCTCTTGTTTGTTATGACTAGTGAGAGTAACCCAGACTTGACTCACTGCTATTTAGAACTAATGGACAAAGTACCTGAGGTAAAGCAACTGAGTTCACTGATGACAAGATGCCCCACAAATTGCCACGCCCAAGATGTACCATCTGGCTGTCTCAAAGCCAGTCAGACACCTTCTCCCATAAACCTACACATACAATGAGCATTTTGGACCCCTACTACTGGCCATAAGACGGTACTGCCCATGGCCTCAAAGTCAACCCTTTCAGGGCTCGCCCAGACCTCAAAGGTCGCAAGATGAAGTTTGTTGACCTACCCAGCAAGTCTGTCATCTCCCTGGTATTTGACCTGGATGTACCTGGAATTATGCCTTTAGCTGCTTGGCAGAAGCCCCTGCCCTCACCACCTGCTCGCCCGTGGCAATCCTTGCCTGGATCACTTGAATTCTTGCGTCAAGAAGCCTATCTGGGCGGCGCCTGTTGGTCAGTGAGTAGGGCACCAGCCCTATATACCAAGGTGGCAGGTTTGAACCTGGCCCCAGCCAAACATCAACAAAAAATAGCCGGGCGTTGTGGCGGGCACCTGTAGTCTCAGCTACTTGGGAGGCTGAGGCAAGAGAATCGCCTAAGCCCAGGAGTTGGAGGTTGCTATGAGCCATGATGCTATTGCACTCTACTGAGGGCGACACAGTGAAACTCTGTCTAAAAAAAAAAAAAAAAGAAGAAGAAGAAGCCTGTCCATTTGTGGGCCAGGAAGAATCGCTATCTGATAGGCCCCCACCACACCTCAGTAGTCTCAAGTACAGAGTAAAGGAGATCCCATCATTCTGGGCATCTGCTCCAGCCCATGAGGCTGCTTCAGTCCATGAGGCCCTGGACTGCACCAGGCTCCAGGAAGAAAATGGTTTCGGGCCTAGGCCCCAGAGGACTAGTCCATGCCCGGCAGGTGCCTCTGAGATGAAGGTAGAAGAAAGGCCAAGAGGGTTGGCTCCAGCCCCTTTCCCTCTATTAGGCACAGGCCTACAAACAGGAAGAACAGGATGGGGGGGGGGTCAGTCCTTGCCTCACCTTAGGATGGACCTTTTGCTAAAGCCATAAGGCCCCATTGGTACACACCTATCCATGGTCTCATGGGCTGGAGCACAAAGGAGGCAGTCTAGGCTAAACCAGGTTCAACTTTTGGGTTCCCACTGACTACGTTCAACAGCAGTGAGAGGTTTTTCTAGTTATGGCCAACATCAGACACCAAACCTCTGAAATCTAGCAAGGAGCTTTGGTCTCCACCAGACCCGTAGTGCACTTCTCCATACAGGGACCAGTGGAACCCCTAGTTCTAGGCTGAGCTGGTAGGCAGCTATGATCCATGGTTTTCTTTCCCCATGCCAACTGTCTCTTGAATTTTCTTGGGGCATGTAAGATGAAACACAGAGCCTACCAGGAGGCCATAAAGGGCATGGCTATTTCTCAGAGCTGAAGACTGGGGTACTTCTTGCCATTCTGTCTAAGACACTGAATAACTGCTGTTTGCATTTCCTGCATAGTGAGACTACATCACTACATTTCTATGCAAGGGGAAGGCAAGGCAGTGTGGTGGTCATGGTTTTAGCTAACCTGTTCAAAAACCTTTTCCAGTTAATTACTCTATTTTCATATTTATAAAGAAGTCTTAATGTTCTGTCCCATAAAACTTTCAAGCTGGACAGCACCTGTGGCTTAGTGAGTGGGGCGCCGGCCCCATATACCAAGGATTGTGGGTTTGAACCCAGCCCGGGTCAAACTGCAACAACAAAAAAATAGCGAGGTATTGTGGTGGGCACCTGTAGTCCCAGCTACTTGGGAGGCTGAGGCAAGAGAATCACCTAAGCCCAAGAACTGGAGATTGCTGTGAGCTGTGATGCCACCGCACTCTACCGAGGGTGACAAAGTGAAACTCTGTCTCTAAAAAACAAAAACTTTCAATCTTGTGGCTGGGAGTGGGGCTGGTTCTGTAGGCCCTAGGGCCTGCTCTATGTATTTGTCAACATGTGATATACTCAATTAGTTAAATGGACTGATTTTCTTCCCTTCCTGCTATGCCTGGAGCTTCAGGAAGTCTGTCCTTACAGAGCTGCAATAAGAAATAACCAAAGATGAAACTGGTCAAATATTTTCGTAACTTTTCTGTTGATATTTTTTGTAAAACTTTCCCAAGACCACTTTCAGATTTAAAAATAAATAAAGTTGGCATTACAGGTGCTGGTCAACCTTCTTGTACCCTTGTACCTCAGCCTCTGGGGTAAAGGAGAATGTCCAGGTCAATGCAGCAGTATCTCCACCAGGACCACTTTGCATCCCCCTGCCCCAAACTCAGCAGTAGTTGAGAATATGACATTTACAAGCTAGAGAGACCCAAATACCTCTGTTCTACCCTTAGCTGCTCTTTCTCAGCTCCCAAGTGCTAGGGAGAAGTTGGGTCAGCTGCTGCCCCAAACCAGCTTCCTCTTCTGGTTGTGGGCTTTGGAGGAAGGAGAGAACTGGCTCTTGGCCACTATGAGGGGTACAGCTTTGCCACTCAGATATACCTTGTCGTGACATTCAGGGAGCCAGGGGCCAGAGCTGCAAGGCTAAGGTCCTTGGTTCACTCCCATAATGTGATCCAAGGCCATCACATAACCTGTCATAAAGGCATCCAGCCTGATGCAATCCATCCCCAGGCACTGGGTTAGGACTGGATTGACTCCCTGGCACTTCTGAGGTAGCCATGTCAGCTTTTTCAGACTTTGCTGTCTTAAGTCCCAGCTCCATGTCATTTATGTGACCTTGCTCAAAACAAGCAAGTTCCTAGTTTCATCCTTAGCCTTGAGGCTATGCCCACAGACTTGCTTCACAGGACCATCCTTAGTTTCCTCAGAGGTAGGCTCAACAAAGCTCTCCTCTGTTTTTCCCTATGCTTTAACCTGGAGGTGGAAAAAAGGCTTAAAAAGGGGTTCTGGGCATCAGACCCTCCCCTCCCCCAAGAACAGGCAGGTGTTCTCACCAAAAAGTTATCACAGACACTGGTGGACTGAGGGCGGTGGGTTGCAGGGGGCATGCAGCAGCGGTAGTCAATATGGGCCCTCATGCTAGAAGGATAGCTGCAGAACTCCAGGGTAAGGTACGGACTGCCAGCTGTCCGCTGCTTCCTATTTTCCCGTTCACTGCAACAGCGCAAGAAGGTATTGGTCCACTAGCATATAAGCTCCATGAGAATAATGATATTTTGTTCACTGCTGAATCTTCAGCACCTAAAACAGTACCTGGCACATGGCAGAAACTCAATAAATATCTTAAGTAAATGAAATAGGTTCATATCAAGCCCCACCCCTTTCCCTCAGGCATTTCCTCACCATTTCCAGAACATTTGTATTTTTTTTAGAGACAGAGTCTCACTTTATCACCTTCAGTAGAGTGCTGTGGCATCACAGCTCACAGCAACCTCCAACTCCTGGATTTAGGTGATCCTCCTCCCTTAGCTTCCAAAGCAACTGGACTGTGGTAGGCGCCCACCACAACACTCAGCTATTTTTTTGATGCAGTTTGGCTGGGGCAAGGTTTGAACCTGCCACCCTCGGTATATGGGGATGACACCCTACCCACTGAGCCATAGGCGCCGCCCCCAGAACATATACTCTAAGTAGGAGGCTACAAAGCGAGCATGAAGCTCAGCAGCATATTTGGTGTCATAAATTCCTGCTGGGGTCACACAGGTCAGCGGTGAAGGTTCCCAGATTATCTGGGAGGTGTGCATAGAAGTTCTGGTACAGGAACACCAAGTCTATAAGGCCATTGTGTAGCACTAGGGGCTGCCGAGCCCGGATCAGCTCCAGGAACAGTGTCCATACTGACAGGCTCTGGCTCTCATCACCCTAGGTGGAAGAAAGGGGTTACTAGGAAGGATACAATCCCTCAGGAAGCCTCTTCTATAGGACACTTATTCCATGCTCCCGGACCCAGAAAATTCTCCCTCTCTGCCTAACCCAATGCTGCCCCTTGAATCAGTCTTATTTCCTCAGCTCCATCACTAGTGATTTCTCATGTTCCTTAAGCAGCAGATTCTCCCCAGGCATGCAGCCTAGTATAGGCTGAAATGAAGTCACAAAAGGGGCAGACTCAAGGCTGGACGCCTACCTCGTCAGTTGAAGTTGAAGCTGAAGCCATGCTGTACCACGAACTGTACAGATGTTGGTTCTATGACATACTACTCCTCTATGCACAAAAGGGTGAGATTGAACACTTGAGCCAGGTAGGAATGTTCTCCCTGGGAGAAAAAGAGGGTCTCTTATATGAAGATTTGGGAGGAAAAAATCTCATAACTGATGTTCTCCAGGATCTCAACCCTCTTCCTACCAATTATAGACCTGGGATGGGGGTGAGATCATCTCATACCTTGTCTAGCTGCTGCTTGAAGCGGGCAAGGCCCCAGCAGATGACTGAATGGATCCTGGCAGCATGACACACAGCCTTGTAACATTCCTTGATGCACCTCAGGGTTGGTTGTTGTGGTGGTTGCGGCTAGGAGTTAGCCCCATGAAGATACTAACTACCCAGGACTGTGACATCCACCACCCTCAGAGATAAGGTCTGAGACTAAAATAACAGGCCTTATACTTACTGGTTCAGCAAACTCTTCCTGTCCCCAAGCCCACTCAGCTTCTATATGTGGGTTAAGAGGTGATAGGCCCCCAGCACCAGCCCTTTCCTCCCTGTTTCCCAACCCTCACCGTGTCCACAGCCATGAAGTTAGCTGTCTTTATGGCCAGCAGGAGGGATGGCCACATCTCCTTGAAGTTGTTGCTTTGCACATCCACCACGGGAACCTGGACTGCTAGGTCCTCCCCAGATTTTGTGCTTTTGCTGACACCATCTGGAAGGAGGGTGATGAATGTTCATGCTCAGTCAAGACCCCAGGCCAGAGAAACAGACATCAGTTACCAAGCAAGGGAATGGCTGGGGGGGGAATGGGTCCCTCAAGCTTTTGCATCCCATGTATTATACACAACAGGCCTTGGGGAGGACAGTACCCTGAATTGGGGGAGAGGAAGCCTGGGTCTTCCAGTGGCCTCTGTGAATCTGGTAAAATTTCTTTCCCTTAGTGTCACAATCTATAAAGGGGAAAGCTGGACCAGATGACTTTAAGATTTATTTTTTCCAGGTCCTGAAGGAAAATATTTTGCAGGGCTTGAGGATTTCAGCTCTCTTAATATACCACAAGGATCCATACTAGTGTTCCCAGCAACCACAAGTGACAGTTTGCAGTATTCCACTGAGCCAGAAAAATAATGCCCCACAGCAGACCTCCTAGTTTCTCTGGACCACAAGGCTTAGCCTGTTCACTGAACTGAATCACATCTAATAACAGTTCCAGACTAACAGAGCTCCAGACTACATCTCCCGACCTGCCACCAGCCCTAGCTGCACTCCTACCACACCAGGCTTTGGCCGCCCGCGCCGCAGTGCACACCGGGACTTGTAGTCGGCTCGTGGCTGCTTACGGCGGAAGGAGCTAGTTCCTTGGGGCTTCAGTTCTGTCTCTAGAAATATAAGCCCGAGGCCTACCCGTTCCCTAGGCTACATAGGTTTTTAAGGTGACCCCTGAAAAGCTGTTCACCGTTAGAAGTTGCTGGAGTTGAAGCTCGCCATCTTCGTTGTCGGCAGCCATGATTCCACGGGTCTCTAACGTCAGTTGTCGTTGGGTAAGCGCGACACCCGCTTCGCCTCCGAGCTCGGCTCAGGCCTAAGGGTTGGGGCGGGGTCTCGCGCTCTGAGTCGGCCGCGAGTGCGCGCTAAGAGCTTATTGGCTGGTGCGGCAGGCTCGCCGGCCGATGGGCTCGAGCCATGCCCCTTGGATTGCATCCGGGAGCCGGAGCTGGAGGCAATTCGGAGGTAATGTCTTCTTAGTGTTGAGTCCTCGGTGTCACGCTGTCTTCATTAGCATGGCCCCGCGGCTCAGGTGAGGCAGGTGGCACTGCCTGATCTCGAGCTTAAAGCACTTCCAGGAGTTAGGATGTTCTGGGCATGGACAAATCCCCAGAGAGGATGGAGAGCTCAGTGAAAGAGACGGAGCGCAGGACACAGAACAAAGCTGCAGAGAACGTAGAGCTACCGACTGGCAGGCAAGGAAGCTTTTGGAGTAACGCAAGGGATAATGTGGACTTAAATTAAAGCTCTGGCAGTAGGGATGGGGAGGAAGGGACAAACTGTAAAGCAATGACTTTACGTGACTCAAAAGTGTTGTTCCTACTGGAGACCAGTCCTTCCCCAAGCATTCCGGTTTCCATCCCCTCTCCATGGCTATTCACTGTTTCTGGTTTGCCTTCAACTTTTCTCTTTCTACTGAGTCCTTTTCATCGTTATTCAGAACTGTTTGCATTTCTTTGACTATCCTTGATCCCATTACCTTAGTTAATTTAACAGTTGTTTATTATGTACAGTTTACCTGGCACTGGCTCAGGGGACAGTGCAGTCAATAGAAGAGACTCAGTCATCATTTCACTCATGCAGTTGTTTACAGTCAAGGGGGGGATCGGGACACTGACCAATAGAATCACAAGTACATGTGATGAAAAAGTACAGGAGAGGGTAAGACTGGGGGACCTGATTTGGACATTTAAGGCTAGACCTGAAAAATTATCAGATGTTAGGTCAAGCATATAGGTCAAGAGATGTCCAAGCAGAAAAAATGGATTGTATGAGGCCCCAAGCTGAACAGAGACTTGGGCCACTGAAGCAGCTAAATTCAAGTAAAGAAGCCTAGTGAGAAGAGATGGGGGTGGGGGCCTAGCCTTGGATTGACAAGGCTGTAGTAAGAAGACTAGCTCCTGTTTTAAAAGCAAGAGTGTGACAGCCAAAACCTTCCAGTGGCCTATAAGCTTCCTTATGACCCTTTCCCCATCTCTATGGGTGGAGGGAGGGTGGTTGTTGGAAAAAGATTATCTCCCATACCCTGTTATTGGCCCCCACTTTATTCCATTCTAATCACTCGAAGTCCTTATTGTATCACAGACAAGCCAGGCACCCTGTTTAGGGCCTTTGCACTCATTTCTTCTTAAAATGTATTCCCCATAGGTATCCATATACTTTCAAGACATTCAAATGCTTTGAGCCATTGGTCACATAGCACTTTAGTAAGGCCCACCAGGACCATGTTCTTTAAAATTACAACATTCCACCACCTACCCAGGCACTCTACCCTTTGTTTCCTCTGCCTTCCCTTTTTATGCTAGTTTTTATCACTTAACATCCTATATAATATATGCATTATTTATTGTCTGGAGAATATAAGTTTCATGAGGGCAGGAATCTTTCTCTCTGTCTTTTTTTGTTTGTTTGTTTAGGCTAAGTCTCACTCTGTTACCCAGGCTAGACTGTCATGGGGTCAGCCTAGTTCACAGCAACCTCACACCCTCACATTCTTAGGCTCAAGTGATCTTCCTGCCTCAGCCTCCCAAGTAGCTGGAACTATAGGTATCTGCCACAACACCCAGCTAATTTTTTGTTTTTAGTGGTGACAGGGTCTTGTTCTGGCTCAGGCTGGTCTCTAACTCCTAAGCTCAAGGGGTCTTCCCACCTAGGCCTACAAGAATGCTAGGATTACAGGTGTGAGCCACATGCCCAGCCAAAAGCAAAAATCTTTAATGTTTCATTTACTAAAGTATTCTAATTACCTAAAAATGCTTGGCACATGGTAGGCACTCCATAAATATTGTTCAAGGATTTAGTGGGAAGCCATTGAAGATATTAAGGAAGGAAGTTACATGATTATGTCTAGAACATTGCTTGCTCTTTGGAAAATGGATTATAGAATGAAATATGGCAGTAAGTGAGTTTAGCTATGAAGGGAAGAAATTGAGAGTTGGTTGGAAGGGATTGGAGGAACAGGCCCTTGAAGAGGAAGAGGTTAGGTCAGTGCAATTTGGGGGGGGCAATTTTATTGTTTTTTTCTTTTCTTTGCTGATTGTGCTTTGTATCTTTTTTCTTTCAAGGAAGAAGCAAGCTCTTTTGATGACAATGAGGTTGTAAAATCAAAGGTTTCAAGTTTGAAAAAGAGGTTTAGTAGGGACTGAATATAGCAGACTGTAAGTGTAGGCACTGGATCAGAATGAACAGATTGCTTAATCTCTATAAACCTCACTTTCCTCATAACTAACATGAGGGCAATAATAGCAAGTACCTCATGGAGTCATCAGGAGATTCAGTGAGAGATCCAATAAAGCTCTTCGTGGGGTCTGGTACAGAGTAAGCACTCACTAAGTGCTATTAGCTACTAGACAAAATGTATCCAGAAGAACAGTCAGAGCAGTAAAGATCAACCAGGTGCATTTTCTCATTTCTCATGGATAGCCAGCTGTGATTTACTAGATCAGGAAAGATTAGGAGCTCATCTCTGTTGCTCCACTGATTTGCCATCTGTTCTCTGGCTAATTCTTTCTCCCTCTCTGACCCTTGTTGGGTTTTTTTTCCCTTTTCATAATATGAAGGTTTGGGGCTAGATAACTGCTAAAGGCTGTTTCACTGTAACCATGCTATGTTTTTGGAGAAAAACCTCCTGTCCCCGTGCTCGCAGATACACCTGAACAACTCCCATCTATGCAACCTGTATATACAAGTGCTCCCAAACAGGAGGCTTAGGTCCTTGACCCCTACCGGCCCTGGCTTCTTACTTTTTGCATGTCTCCAGGGCTTACTCATGCTGGTCCCCCTGAGGCCACTCACTCAGTCATATTGGTCATACCTCAGTGTTACAGCCAGTAATAGCAAACCCATGAGCACCTTGATAGTGCTTGACAAAAGCTAGATATGAATAGTGTGGGGAGAGAAGTAGCTACCAGCTCTGTAGAGCCTCAATATTCAGCCTCATAGTGACTATTTTAACTAGGTCTTTCTGTTCCAGGCCATGAAGAAGCCACGAGCAGCTGTGGGAAGTGGTCATAGGAAGCAGGCAGCCAGCCAGAAGGAAAGGGAGAAACGTGTCCTCAGCAGCAAGCAGGCCAAGCCTTCTGCCCCTGATGGTGAGGATCTTGGTTATGGCCTAAGTCTCAGGGGATTGGTTTCATTGCCCATGAAGGGGGGCAGATTTAGACTGGGAAGGGAGCATGGTATGTTGAAGACATTAGAGATTAAGTATGGGTATAATCTTGTGTGTTGTGTGTTGCTATATGACATTGGGATAACTGCTCTAAATGGCTGCTTATCTATAAAATGGAGCAGTAGTCTCATTTCCTCCCTTGTGGTTTTCATGGGATCAAATGAGTTGATGAAACTGAAAGTATTTCAGGAAACACTTGCACAAGTAAAAGAAAGCCCTGCACAGGTATACATTATACCTGGCTAAAACTATTAGGTTTTGGAGTACCACCCTGAGAAAATTAAGGCCAGAAACTTGGTCATGGCTACACACAACTCTGGTCTCAGCTCCAAAGCTTAAGCAAGATTTGGGGTGGAGGAATGTCTATGCAGGAACACACTGCTATAGCTGCTGGGTGCTGGGACCCTGGTGTACAGGCTGTGCAGGGACAATTCCTGACTGTCCTGAGGTCTCAACAGGTCTGGCCAGGCAGCCAGAAGAAGTGGAAATGCAGGTCTCTATCTCCCCATACCATCTATTCAGAGACACAGCTGAAGTCACAGCCTTCCGGGGAAACCTGCTGAGCTGGTATGACCAAGAGAAGCGGGACCTACCCTGGAGAAGATGGGTAGGTAGATGAGGGACAATGGAAGGGGAGGCTGGCACTCAGCCGCCTTCACACTAACTCCCCATCTGGGGTTTCATTAATAGGTGGAGCATGAAGTGGACCTAGACAAGCGTGCGTATGCTGGTCAGTACCGCTCCTGAGAGCAAGGCGACTTTGCCTTGAGGCCTTTGGGTCTGGGGGCTAAGGGATAGGACGAAGGCAGATCAGCAGTGCCCTCATGCCAACCCCTCTTCCCCAGTGTGGGTCTCAGAGGTCATGTTGCAGCAGACCCAGGTTGCCACGGTGATCAACTACTATACCCGATGGATGCAGGTGACTCCAAAGGAGGAAAGGGCAGGTGGTCATGGGTTAGACACCAAATGAGAACCTGTACTTACATGTGAGTATGAGGCTTTTTCTACCACCCTCATCTTTGACCTCTTCTCTTTTTGCCTGCCTTGGTACTGTAGAAGTGGCCTACACTGCAGGACCTGGCCAGTGCCTCCCTGGAGGTGAGAAATACACTACATTATGGGGAATAGGGACACTAAGGGACTGAACAATGATCTCTTTGCCCTCTGACATTTTCCATAGGAGGTAAACGAGCTCTGGGCTGGCCTGGGCTACTATTCTCGAGGCCGGCGACTGCAGGAGGGGGCTCGGAAGGTAAGAGAGTAGCAGGAGGGTGGGAGTCTAAGGACCTTGAGTGTCTCATAACCTTGAGTTTTCCCACCCCAATCAGATAGTAGAGGAGCTAGGGGGTCACATGCCACGTACAGCAGAGGCTCTGAAGCAGCTCCTGCCTGGTGTGGGGCGGTACACAGCTGGGGCCATTGCTTCCATTGCCTTTGGCCAGGTGAGTCCATAGCCCACCTCCACTTTGTGCATGTCCACCCTCCTTCCTCTCAGCCCAGACTGACTTCCAGTTCCTCTGTGGCAGGCAGCTGGTGTGGTGGACGGGAATGTAGTACGGGTGCTATGTCGTGTTCGAGCCATTGGTGCTGATCCCAGCAGCACTGTTGTCTCCCAGCAGCTCTGGTAGGATTCTGGGTTAACAGGAAGGGTATCTGTCAAGGGGCTTTGGCTCACAGCAATGTTACTGATGTTACTTTCTTTTAGGAGTTTAGCCCAGCAGCTGGTAGACCCAGCCCGGCCAGGGGACTTCAACCAAGCAGCCATGGAGCTGGGAGCCACAGTGTGTACTCCACAGCACCCACATTGCAGCCAGTGCCCTGTGCAGGGCCTATGCCGGGCACACCAGAAAGTGAGACTACTGGGGAAAGGGAAGTGAGGGGTCCTAGGGAGTGACCCTTGCCCCATGACATCTACCTTGTGCCTCTCAGGTAGAGCAGGAACATCTCTCAACCTCACAACACCTGCTGGGCAGTCCTAACATAGAGGAGTGTGGTGAGTGCCAACCTTAGTCTGTGCCTTCACCCTTCTTGGCCTCATCAGGGAGCTGTCTACAGAAAACTCATCTCAGTTCTTTTATAACCTGAGTAAGGTTCTGCAGACCTGGTCTCAGGTCTGCTCTCTGGGATTGGTGCCTGAATGGGGCTCGGGGATCTCTCTTCCCAGCTCCCAATACTGAGCAGTGCCAGCTGTGTCCGCCTCTCACAAAGCCTTGGGACCCTACCCTGGGGGTGACCAACTTTCCCCGAAAGGCTAGCCGCAAGCCTCCCAGGGAGGAGTGCTCTGCTACCTGCATTCTGGAGCAACCCAAGGCCCTTGGGGGTGCCCGAATTCTTCTGGTACAGCGGCCCAAGTCAGGTACCAGAGGGCAGAGGCATGTGCAGCAAGGGAGGGTTGAAGGAGTAAGCAGCTAACTAAGGCCTCACCGCTACCTGGCTGCCCTCTCAGGTCTGCTGGCAGGACTGTGGGAGTTCCCATCTGTGACCTTGGAGCCCTCAGAGAAGCATCAGCACAAGGCCCTGCTGCAGGAACTGCAGAATTGGGCCGGGCCCCTCCCAGAGGGCTGCCTTCAGCACTTCGGGGAGGTGAGTGAACAGGAGAGGTGCCAGGAATAATGGCTTTTGAGGCCATATCCACAGGCTATTTAAGTCCCTTGGCCCTCCCTCCAGGTGGTCCACATCTTCTCTCACATCAAGCTGACATACCAAGTATATGGTCTGGCCATGGAGGGGCAAATCCCAGTGACCAGCACACCACCTGGCTCTCGCTGGGTAACACGGGAAGAATTTCGCACTGCAGCTGTCTCCACGGCCATGAAAAAGGCACTACTTTTATTGTCTTTGTTCTATTATTTTGTGTTTCTTACATGTTCCACATGAGCCTATTACTGCATAAAGAGGACAAAAAAGCATATTTTAAACAGAAGTGCTGGGGTATGAAGTTGAGGGCAGAATACAGGGGGTTACCTTTCAGAGAAGGTGCCAGCCCTGTCTTCCCCCTCTCTTCTTGCCTAGGTGTTTCGTGTGTATGAGGGACAACAGCCAGGGACCTGCAAGGTGAGTCTCTGTCCTCACCCAGCCATCTGTCCCCTGGATCCATGGTTCTTAGTTAACTGATACACATTTAAGTGAATCTTCTCCACTGCAGGCTTCACTAGGGGTAGAGGAATAGTTCCTGACCTGGGGAACTAACAGTGTGGGATGCAGGGTAAGGGGACAGGAGCAAATGGACAGGAGACAGTCCAGTGTCACAGGTGTGTAAATTGTGTGTACTAGGTTTTGTGGGATATGAGGTGGAGATCTGTCAGTTCTATTTGGGAGGAAAGGATCAGGAAAGTCTGTTTGAGGGAAGTAGCTAATCTGGCCCCAGAAATGATTTGTTTTCTTTAGAAGAATCAGGAATAAGGATTTTTTTTTTTTTTTTTTTTTGAGACAGAGTCTCACTATGTTGTCCTTGGTAGAGTGCCGTGCCATTGCCACAGCCCACAGCAACCTCAAATTCTTGGGCTTAAGCTATTCTCTTGCCTCAGCTTCCCAAGTAGCTAGAACTACAGGCGCCCACCACAACACCCAGCTATTTTTTGGTTGCAGTTGTCATTGTTGTTTATGTCATTGTTGTTTAACAGGCCCAGGCCGGGCTTGAACCTAGGAGCTTTGGTGTATGTGGCTGGCGTCCTACTCACTGAGCTATGGGCACTGAACCTTTTCTTCAGACAGTCTCACTCTGTCACCCTGGGTAGAGTGCTCACAACAACCTCAAACTCTTCGGCTCAAGCCATCCTTTTGCCTCAGTCTCCCAAGTAGCTGGGACTACAGGTGCCCACCACAATGTACAGCTAGGTTTTTGTTTTTTTGTTTTTTTAATTTTTGGTAGAGGGAGGGTCTCGATTTTTTTCAGCCTGGTCTCTAACTCCTGAGCTCTAGCAACCCTACCTGAGCCTCCCCGTGTCCTAGGATTACAGGCACGAGTCAGTGCCTGGCCAGTAAAGAATATTCTTTCCAGGCCAAAGAATGTAGTATAAGCAAAGGTCATTCACAATATAGTCTGCAGTGCTCAAAGAGCTGTGGTCAGTTGGTTTATCAGGAGAGGGCAGGAAAGCAAGCCCAGCTCAGTTAGGGTTTAAGCACCAGGCCACTTGGAAACAGTTTAGGTGGAGAGAGGACTCAGATTTGTATTTTAGGAAGAGTCCCTGGGGCAGCATTTTGGAGATCTGATTGAAGAGGCAGATACTAGGTAGATCGAAAGCTCAACAGCATTCCAGGCTAAAATCTGAGGTACCTCAGTAGAGTGGAGGAAGTACATGGAAGGAAAAGATTCCCTGTGCTCCCTCCTCAGTACTTCCCTCCTTTGGCTTCTGCACAGGGTTCCAAAAGGTCCCAGGTAACCACTCCATCCAGCTGGAAAAAGACCAGCCGGGGCCAGCAAGTCCTAGATAGCTTCTTTCGGCCCCATATCTCCACTAACGTGCCCATCCCCAACACTGCAGCTGAGTGACGCCTCTGGAAGACTCCACCCCCTGAAAATCTTACTATTAATAAAGTACTTATTTTTATAGTCATTTTGGAAAGCTTAATACCTCTCCCTAACTTTCTCATTCATGGTGAAGTCCAGCTTGGTCCTGACTTCTACCAGCTGAGCTCCTAGCCAGCCCCGGATAGATAAAAGAGGAGTGTTGTGTCCAGAGTGATCTCTCCTCCCTCATCCCCCAGGAGAGGGTGAAGGCAGCTGCATGAGCACTTGGCTGTGGCTGATACACAACACTCTCCATCTACCATGTTTCACCCAAAAATAAGACCTAGCAGGATTTCTATGCATTTGTTATAAATATAAGCTGTCTCGACCCGTCGGGCTCCTATGGCCCTGGTCTCGGTTAGCACAGGAAGGAACCAGGTGAGAGGCGGCTTAGAAGTACAAGCTTGTGGAAGGGGGGCTAGCCCTTACTTTCCAGGTAGCCCCGAGCAACCTCCGCACCAGCCTTTTATTGAAAGGGAATGATACAGGTGAGGGGAGTAATTAACAATGACTATGAGCTGAGGGCACGGGCTACTTCCACAAGGAACTCCTGTGGACAAATGGCCCGAGGTCCACACTTCAGCTGTAGATCATCTTGCTCGACTGTCATCTGGCTCTTGGCATCTCCTACAATAAGCCCTACCCCAATAATAAGACCTAGTGATGGGTGTGGCTATGCAGCATATCTGCATAGCTATGCCATGCATTTCGGCACAGAGAGGAAGACATCCCCTGAAAATAAGCCCTAGTATGTCTTCTTGAGAAAAAAATAAATAGAAGACAGTGTCTTATTTTCTGGGAAACACAGTCGGTTTCTGTTCAGCTCTGATTGGAGCAGTGGCATCATCCTAGAGTAGATAGTTGGGCTCAATCCTGACCCAGCCCCACCAGACCTGCAGTGGTTGTTCACTAGGGGCAGGGGAGGATTTGTTCTGTCTTAAATCCTACTTCAAATACAAAATCATTTTTTTAGGGATATGTATGTAGTGAAGCAATACAGGAAAAGGGTTCATAATCACAGAATTTGGGAGCTGAGTGGGAAGGAAATGGAATCAGGAATTCAAAAAGGCCTCAAAAGGATTGTTTATGTTCTATTTTCTACCTCTGTAATTTTTATTCCTTATATCGTGCATATGCATTTTACATAATATGTGGTCCATCGTTTTTAAAAAGAAAAAAATCTCCCCTTCTCTGGAGCCCACTGAGAGGCTTAATTAACACTAGGTACTGAACAGAGGAGGTCATACCTAGTCCCTGAGGGCAAAGCTTTTCACAAGCTGGGTCTCCTGGGGGTGTTCCTCAGTTTCAGCAAGCCCTATGCTAGACTAGTGGCCCTGGCTCACCAAAAGTCTGAACTCTTTTTGGCTGGGGGAAGAGAGGTCACTCTGGACAAGACACTCCTCTTCCATCTGCCCAAGGCTGGCTGGGAGCTCAGCCTCAGGACTGGTGGCCCTGGCCCTTCTCAAGCTTCCTGACTTCTGGCAGCTTGCTCCTGCACGGACTGCCAGAGGTCCCTGATGTTTGGCCTTGGCCAAAGCCTGTGGCCCTCTGCCTCTGAATTAGCTCTAGGAGGAAGATGTCCTCAACGAAAAGGGACTTGATGAAGACCTGAAGCAGGAACTTGCCTTTATCACCATCTAGCAGGATTCCCTGTTGGGCCAGAAGGCTAGGCTCATTCCCTGTAGTTTGGATCTGTCTCTTTGCCTGGCTGCTGGTAGTAGGCCTTAGGGGAAGACAGTATGTCCCAGCCCACACCACGCCCTTGGTGGCCTCCATGATGTTGGGCGTATCTAGCCCCACATGCTGCAGGCCCCGCCCCCTATGCCAGACCAGGAACTACTCCACCTAGCTCTGTCCCTGGGTGGCCCCCTTCAAGGACTCAGGAACAACACTGTCTGCTGGGGTCTGCAGGGCAGTGAGCCACAGCACCCCAACTCCACACACCCCACCCCACCCCACCCCCACCCCCACACCCAGACCCTGCTGCCACTTCAAGGCCCAGCTCCGGATCCTCACCTGGGCTCAGGGACAAGTGGCAAAAACCCAGGCAGTCATCGAACCAGCGTGAGAGTGTGGGGGAGCTGCCAGGGGTGCAGGCCAAGGTCAGATGGTCCACGTAGCTGACCCAGCCAGGGCCCAGCACTGAGCCCACGGGCTCAAAGCAGAGGAGGAAGATCCCCGGTATCCTGCACACCTCAGTAGGGTCAGGGTGAGATTGCCAGCGGGCGAGCTGACCACTGTATAGGTGGTGGCGCCCTGCGCATACTGCACTCTAAGAGTAGGCACCGGCACGCGGCAGCCTCCCGCAGCCAGCATCCGGGCGGTGACACCTACGTCCGCCAGGTCAAAGCACAGGTTCATGGCCCTAGGCACCACGTGCCACGTGTCCAGGCTGTACAGAGGCTCCCAGTGCCCTCATTTACCAAAACGACAGCATCGCCGCTGCTCAGGGCCAGCTACAGCCAACTGTTTATCTCCCGCGCCACCAGGGGCTGGAAGCCACAGCGACGCTGCAGGTCCACAGCGAGAGTCTGTCCCATGGGCTCGTGGAAGGCGATGTGGCACAGATGGCAGGCGGACGCGGTCATGGCCGGCGGGTTGGGGATCTCCACCTGTCCTTCGGGGGCCGCTCATTTCCGCTCCGGAGCTCTCAGTCCCAGGCAGGTGGTCGGAGGCTGGTGGAGTCCAATTCTCACAGAGCGCGTCCCTGGCTCTTTTCCAGGGAGAGATTGCCAGCCTAGATCCCGAAGAGGTCTTGTGGTTCCTCCTGCAGCGCTACCTCAACCTAGAGTGGCATGATGGCCACCGGGTCTGAGCCGCGAGTAGTGAGACCCACGCGGCGCCAGAGCTGGAGAAGAGCGGGAGAAAAGGGGCAGGGCCCCTGACTCCGCTGTTTGCACGCTCCACCTTCCCGACCAGACCCGGTCTCAAAGCATGCAGCGAGGACTACAGGCTGCTACTTCCCAGGGCCTCATGCCTGGTCACACACTCAGGCTCTGAACCTCCCTTCCCTGGACCAGGAGATCACAATAGCTGCTTTCACTCGGTGCCAGGCGCTGGGTTCTCACCCTTCACAGCTCAGGGACTGGGTTGAGGAAGAAGTCTGAGTTCTCCTTCCGCAACCACGGAATTTCTTAGCAGTTTTATTTTTTTCTTTACAATTCTGAAGTTTACCTCTAAATTTTAATTTTCTTTTAAATTAAAAGAATAGGCTCGGCACCTGTGGCTCAAGCGGCTAAGGCGCCAGCCA